TAGGTTTTAAGGGTCGTTTGGGTTCTCTCTGAACATTACGTGATGGATTATTCCATCCACTTTTTGTCAAATACTCAATCTTAGTTTGTTGAGTCTGGGGTCTTTGTTGTATTAGGGTTGATGAGCTAGGTGTTTGGGAGTTAGTCGTTCTGCTGACCTGAATTTGTCTAGTAGTCTGTTGTTGTCTTGAGTTATTTACAACTGGGCTGAGACTTGTTCTTTGCGGTTTAGGTGGAACGCCTTTTGTTGGCGTTTGGCCATTTTTATTTTTAGTTTGTATTGAATTTATCCGTGACTCCGTTATAGGTACATCTGTAATACGGGTTGGTTGTTGGTGCGCATTTGAATTTTGGTTCGGAATTATTCTCTGTGGTTTATGAGGAGCATTAAATATTACTTTACCCAGTGGCTGTCTTTGACCATTTGAAGCCTTCGTTTTTATCCGTGATTCTCTTATAGGGACTTCTGTAATACGGTTTGGTTGTCGTCGCATGTGGTTTGGCCGAGATCGATTTTGAATCTCATTTATCCCGTGTCTCCCGGTCGTTTGCATGGCGACTGTAGCTGATGGAGTATCATGAGGTCGCAATGGTCTTTTAGGGATGTTAGGTACTGTTGATTTTTGGATTTGTGAAATTGAGGAAGAGAAGTTCGTCTTTGGTGGCACAGTTCTGCTGCGAGCAGTAAATTGCTGTTTCGGTACCATAGGACCATTTTTTATATCGTTTCCTCGTGGATTGGTAGACTGATGGCCACCGGTTAGAAGCCTTCTACTTGAAATGACTCTCTTGATGTTAGTATTTGGAAGTGGTGAATTTGGTCTGATTTTTCTCTTTGTTATAGGTGCTTCTGCTGGTGAGAAATTGTTACTCAAATGTCTATGTGCATTGCTCTGTTTGAAAGTTCGACTCTTGTGGGGAAATGCTGGTATGACCGGAGTGGATCTTTGAGTGTTTGCTACGTTGGAAGCACCACTGTTTTGTACTATAAAAACTTGATCGGCAACCTGCAACCCAGCCAATGGCTTCGGATTCAGCTTTGATGTCTGACCTCGGCTTTGATGTTGACTCGAAGTATGGTTTGGTTGAGGTGATCTAGTACCAGTCGCCCATTGAATTGGGGATGGGGGTGGATTTTGCGTACGATGCGCGCGTCGTGCACTAGCCGCTTGCTGGTCTAATAAGCGTTGAACACCACTGTTAGAATAAGATTGAACTATGTTACTCCTCGATGAATCCTGGGGTTTAAAATTCTGTCTCTGTTCTGACAAAACACCACCTCGTCCTAAAACATCTAGAAACTTGCCGGAAGCAATTTGATTCATTTTGTTCACCCTTTTCTGATGTTTATCGCTTGGTTGACTGGACATTTCTACAACACCAGTTGCAATTTGGTTAATATCTACACCATGTAAATGGTTCAGATTTGTAAAGCCTAAATTAGCAATACTTCGTTCTGCTCCCGACATAGATTTGTCAATGTTTGGTTTTGTGTCTGGCATAGGATAGGAAAGTGCGTCTGGTAACTCAGTGTGGTATGGATCAGGTACATCAGAGTTCGTGTTGGATATTAAACTTCTGAGATAGGCGTTATTGGACATACCATCAAGAATATCAACGGTATTAATGATTTCTGTTTGATCGAATGGTGAACCTATTCGATTGGACAGATAGGGTTCATATCCCCCGTTCGTTGGTTCTGAAATTGATAATAATTCTTCTTTAAATATCGGTCAATGAATTATACCTGTGAATATTTTTAGCCAGTTCATCACATCATGAATTCGTTTTCTTTATTTTATCATTGTCTTATTGAACAATGTCACCCAAGTCAATTTTAAACATTGCATCTTTGTCCTAAGACCTGCAATACTTTACTTTCATTCTTTTTAGTTTCCGCTTTCATACATTCAATTGGGACAATTATGAAGTAAATTAGACATGATATGTTGAGAGCGGCTCTTACCTTCAATATAATTATGAGGATATCTTGCTTTAGGTATTAAAGCATTGTTCAAACCAGTTTCTGAAGCAAAGACAAACTATAGTTATATTCAGGGGGTAGAATACAAAATACACTGCAGGTTGTTTGAACTATCGCATTCACACTGGAAACAATTTATATAGCAAAATTTTGCGAAACTGCCTACCTTGTTGGAATTGGAGTGATGTAGATAAATGTGAAAATATCAAATAGAACTGGAAACTTAAAACTGATAATTGCATCTGTAAATGAAAGATGTTTGTATTAACTATCGATTTTTGGTGTAAGAATGTATAAACATGTAGAGCAGCAACACCCACTTTTATTGTATTTTATATTTCATTTCGTTGATAAATTGATGGTTTATAATGTACAAGGCTATTTTCAAAGATTGTAACTTCTTTCGTATTATTTCAGGTTATAATATAAATATTCATACTCCTGAAGATTTCTTATTAAGCATTACCCTGAATACGTTACAGAATCCGAGAGCAAATCCGTTCTTACTTTTTTAATAATCCTGTAGTATCATAAGCTTCTCTCCTTCAATTAAATCAATTCTTTATATATTAATTAGAGACAAACTTTTGACTTCCATTCTGAAACGTGTTGAGCAGTATGACTGAAATTGCTTAGTTGTGAAATTCTAAATTTTTTAAAAGTTTTTAAGTTTTGTGTCATAAACGATCGAAGTAGGATTTTCATTCTGGAAAATGCATAGTGTTATAAAAAAAATGCTGGCCGATGAATCTATGTACAAAAAAGCACTATTCTGGCCAGCATTATATTTATTAATCTAGAACACACTCAATTCTTTGCTTGCGCTTATTATATGCTCTTTCTTGTTCTGGGCTTCAAAACACGAGTAAAGTTCTTTCTTTGGTAAATGAATGCATGTCTCCTCAAATGATTTTTCACCTTTTAATTCACTCTGTCTGAATTATTCCGCCTCCTCGAGATTATTTTCATGACTCCATATCATCTTAAACAGAGAAAAGTCACGTCAAGAACTTGCATCGCTTGGGAATTGAAAAATCGTTGGTGTTTTCAATGGCATTTTCAAAAGAATTCCACGAAGTAATAAGCAGATCTTACCTTGCTTTATGGATTCCAGCAAGTCTAGTTGTCTTTCCTTCGTGCTTTCTTTACACCAACTATAACGTTGTAAGAACCACCGTAACTAACTTTTGACATTCAACCCAAAACTTGTTTAAATATCGTATTTTGGCGAGTTTTATTCTTGAGTTCACAATAGAGCAGTATGTTTTTATGTATGTTAATCAATCAACTAAGACATTCATAAGAAACTTGTTCAATAATGTTCTGTTAGAAGTTTATTACCAAACCAACCAGTCGTAAGTCTCGAGCTGTGCGTGTCCAATCCTCGCGGCGACGTAAGGCAGTAAATCATATTATAATTAATCTCCTACTATTTCGGATGATTTTAATCAATTTTCGTGTTTTTTCACATTCAAATATATACAATGTAGATTGAAAGTGTAACACGATGAACATAAAACCTATAGCTATAAAACTTAAAATAACATTTAATGGTTTTGATTCAATGAAATGCATTGTAATTGAAAATATACAAAAAAAGCATTAAAAACAAAAATGTTGCACTGAATTAGGTAGTTAGATTAAAATAAATGGATCGACGTTTAGTAGAGCATTTAACTTGGCAACGCCTATTCAGTGTGAGATTATTTATTTTCCAAGACAGGCAACATTTTTTCCCGCACGTTAAACATCTGCAGCACATGGAGCCATATTTTCTTATTACATATGCAATCATTTTATTAGCTCAAAGGACGTCGAACACGACTCGATTGAGACCGGTTGTAGAAAATAAAGCAATCTTTTCATCTGATCGAAAGTAAAATTATGCTTTGAAGTTTTGGAGATAACCATTGATCAGAATAAAAATGGGGCTACAATTTAAACCTAAACCAAGTCCATCTTAGTTTTCTCTGTATATTCCTAGCATCAGCGATTGTACTACAGACAGATCGTCCTTAAATGATGGGCATTCAAACACTAAAATGCTTATGTATCGATATTGTGGCTGCCAGTATCCATTTTAGATCATTTAAAGAGACATATTAACATTTAGGGACACATAAACATACTCTGAAGGCCGAAAACAAAAATATTAATGTCGGGCTGTTTTATTAACTCATTTATCAAAAATACATTACAAGGTATAAACGTTCAAATTTAGTAATATCATGACATGAACGACCTTTTACGTTATTGTGAAATGAAATATATATTCGGCACTAAGGTACCTTATATGACTAATGAAGTGACCAGCGGTCTTATATCCAACCATTTTAACTAGCAAATTGAAAAAAATACACTGAAATGAACGCTTAAGGATGAATTCAAATATTCTGCACCTTGGTAAAATGAAACGAGGATCTGTATCATACAAACAGAAATAGTACATTTATCACCATCTGATCTACACCTTATGAAACAAAGAACTGAAATCCAGTTTCAGCCAATTCAATTTGTGATTAATGAAACAAATATCTCAGTTATATGGCTCAAAATAAACGACAAAAAATAGGCCTATACCTTTAGTGACAATTAAGATATGTACATTTAAAACTTGATGTTGTGTATCTTGTTCAGGTTACTTCATTTGCCATCCATGATCTGATTTTCCTTTAATCATTTCTGCAAATTTCCTTCATGTGATCATTATTGATGCTAACCAATCAAAAACACTGATAACACAATACAATTATAACAATAAATATCCCAGAGTTTATTCTTTTACTTTTAATGAACACAGAAAATGATTGGTTGAATATTAATTGACTCAAAACAGAAGATGCATAACAATTTATCAGATCATGGATGGTAAGTGGAGCAAACTACAGAAATGAACATTCATATTTGCATTTTAAAAAGTAACCCACAGAAAACATATGAAAAGTACATTCAAAGTGAATATTTTATCAGACTACTTTAATGGCTCAGCTTACATATCCACATGTTCTTTGCCTTTCTTAATGCCACACAACTTCATTAGCAGCTGTTACAGGCTGTACATGATAGAACCTCACATTTTGATTAATATTAGATGTAACTGGAATAGTTTTTATTTCTTTACTTTGTTCAGTTTTATTTCCACTACCATTTATTATATGTATACACTTCCAGGATCCCATATAATTTGCTGAAATATAAAATAAATACCATATATTCAGCAGAAATACAATATAAATACATTATAATAACCAGAAATACAACATAAATACCATATATTCAGCACAAATACAATATAAATATAATATAATAAACTGAAACACAATATGAATACCATATAATTAGCTGAAACATAATATAAATAGAATATAATTTAGCTGAAATACAACATAAATACCATATAATTAGCTGAAATATAACATTAAATACCATATATTTAGCTGAAATATAACATTAAATACCATATATTTAGCTGAAATATAACATTAAATACCATATAATTAGCTGAAATATAACATATAAATACCATAAAATTTGCTGAAATATAACATTAAATACCATATAATTAGCTGAAATATAACATATAAATACAATATAATTAGCTGAAGTAGAGCATAAATACCACATGATTAGCTGAAATACAATATAAATACCATGGACCATAACAATTTCAACAAATTGAAACATCAGACATAATGCATTTGATAATAAACAGATGAACAATAATAATACCTTTTTTAGTGGAACTCTCTGGGTTAAGATGTGGAGTGAAGCCACTTTTAATGTTAATAGAAAGTTTTGCTAATGATGATCGGATGAAAAAGTGGGTTAGGACCTAATGAAAGTAAATAACCAGAAGAAGAATAAAATCATATTGACACTTACATTTCCATAATCGAACACAGCCATCATCTCCTGATGATGATAGAACAGTTCCTAATACATTCCAACTTAATCTCCATACCTATAATACATAAATATAAACAGTAGATAAATATATATAACATATACAAACCATAGATAATTATACATAATATATACAAACAGTAGATAATTATATATAATATATACAAACAGTAGATAATTATATATAATATATACAAACGGTAGATAATTATATATAATATATACAAACAGTAGATAATTATATATAACATATACAAACCGTAGATAATTATACATAATATATACAAACAGTAGATAATTATATATAATATATACAAACAGTAGATAATTATATATAACATATACAGACAGTAGATAATTATACATAATATATACAAACAGTAGATAATTATATATAATATATACAAACAGTAGATAATTATATATAATTATATATAATATATACAAACAGTAGATAATTATATATAACATATACAAACAGTAGATAATTATATATAATATATACAAACGGTAGATAATCATATATAACATATACAGACAGTAGATAATCATATATAACATATACAAACGGTAGATAATCATATATAACATATACAAACAGTAGATAATTATATATAACAGTAGATAATTATATATAACATATACAAACAGTAGATAATTATATATAATATATACAAAAAGTAGATAATTATATATAACATATACAAACAGTAGATAATTATATATAATATATACAAACAGTAGATAATTATATATAACATATACAAACAGTAGATAATTATATATAACATATACAGACAGTAGATAATTATATATAACATATACAGACAGTAGATAATTATATATAACATATACAAACAGTAGATAATTATATATAACATATACAAAAAGTAGATAATTATATATAACATATACAAAAAGTAGATAATCATATATAACATATACAAACAGTAGATAATTATATATAATATATACAAACGGTAGATAATCATATATAACATATACAAACAGTAGATAATTATATACAATATATACAAACAGTAGATAATTATGTATAACATATACAGACAGTAGATAATTATATATAATATATACAAATAGTAGATAATTATATATAACAGTAGATAATTATATATAACAGTAGATAATTATATATAACAGTAGATAATTATATATAATATATACAAACATTAGATAATTATATATAATATATACAAACAGTAGATAATTATATATAACAGTAGATAATTATACATAATATATACAAACATTAGATAATTATATATAATATATACAAACAGTAGATAATTATATATAATATATACAAACAGTAGATAATTATATATAACATATACAAACAGTAGATAATTATATATAACATATACAGACAGTAGATAATTATATATAACATATACAGACAGTAGATAATTATATATAACATATACAAACAGTAGATAATTATATATAACATATACAAACAGTAGATAATTATATATAACATATACAAACAGTAGATAATTATATATAACATATACAAAAAGTAGATAATTATATATAACATATACAAACAGTAGATAATTATATATAACATATACAAACAGTAGATAATTAAAAACTGAATCAATACAAAAATAGATAAATACATTAAAAGAGTATCTTAATTTTGATTTAAATTTTGTCATCCTCCATCCATCCAGTTGACCAATCGTACCTAAGTCTCAGAAATGGGAAATTTTTAGCTAAGCTAATCAGTAATCCATGTGTACAGAATCATCTGTAGTCACAAATATGACTTGTCATTTCTTGAGACTCTGCCATATAAAGAAAGAGAAATTCCTTGTTTGAGGTATTTTTGAAGGAATTATGTGATTTTCGTACATTCCTAGTATTTCTGAAGATTATTCACATTATATTCACGACCCAAGTCAATCTCGAAAATGACAATCTAAATCTTTAAGGAAAATATACAATTTTTTTCAAAGAAATAGATACAGTCAGTATCAGCATCAAATAAAATTACTAATATTATAAATCTATTGTCTTCTATAGAAAGAACAATAAGGAATATAATAAAGCATACCTGTGATTCATGATCAGTAAACTCTGCTAATCTATGCATGTCAAATTTACTAAAACTACTTGACGATTCTTTACTAAAATACAAAAAACATTTTTAAAATGAATTAAAAAAACTCTCCTTAATTATTATTGGTCAATGACTGAATTGTCAACCAATCAAAATAAGCAATGCAAATACAGACATGTTGTTTCAGGAGCTAGATAATAAATAGTACACAAAAAATGAAATAAAACGAAAGGAGTTTTATGTCCTACTTTTTTGCACCATAAGACGGGCAACACCATGCAGGTTGCAATGAGGGAAATTTTGTCAGGGATATGTAACGTGCCCAGTTTATTGTTCCATCCGACCAACTAGACGCTTTTTCAATATCAGCCCCTCTTACTCCCATCACTGACGGGGGAAACCAGGTTGAATGGCGGAATTAAACCCTGGATCCTCAGGTTAGCGAGCAATCGTCTTACTCACTGAGCTACAGAGGAAATCATCTTACCCAATAGGCTTCAAAGAGAAGATGCTGAGATCTTTAGAAGCTACAGCTAGTGTATGATAAGAACGTCCTAGGTTAGGAGCGAAGGCTAGATCATGAACTGGCTCTGTTAGAACTGTTATTATCTCTACTTTTTTCCATTTCCTACAATTATATGTTATCATGATCAATATATCCACATAACAATTTGTTATAAGTTGATAGCAATCTGAGTTAGATGTTAATAGTGGAACAGGCTTTTGAAGCATATTTGACGTTACATGCTTAGCTACATGAAACAAATGGAGGTTGCAGATTCTAAACCCTCAGTGTAAAAGTTTAGTGACCTTGAATAAGTAATCTTTCCCTTTTCTCTTTGCTCTGTTAAGTCTGGCCAAGGAGCATCTGGTAGAAAGGATCCTTATTAACCTAAGATATTCTTGTGGTGTTATTTCTTTCTTTTCCAAGAGGAGCATGTCCTGCCTATCATTCCAAAGCATTGTTTTGATGATTTCAATGTCCCTAATGCAATTTTGTATTCATCGCACCTTTATCAATGAATCAATAAAACTCTCACCAACTATGGAAGTTTATATGTCACACTTTTTAATGAAATATAACTAGACACAGAGCGAAATCATATGCACTTACCTACTAGATTCATTATATTCATAAATTTGTACACGACCACTAGAAGATGGACTTGGATCATCACTACCTACTGCTATCATTGGTGGATATAATCTGATAGATATATATATATATATTTTCATCATAACCGACAACACCTTTCATTGTATCAATATAAATACTCTGCATAAACAATATTAGCTATGTGGACTCTATGAGACGTATGTCAAGTTAACAAACATTGTTGTGAATAAGGTACTCGAAGAATGGGTTTTCCCTGTAGTCAGCTACCACAATACATTGGACGTGGACTCTCAAGAAGTAAGGAAAGAAATATAATGTGTAAATAGTTAATGGACAATAAAGCAATCAATTTCCTACCAAGGTAAATATTCAACAATAAGTATATTTCTCAAGATTGTTTTAAAAAAACATTGAGAATAAAACATGCTGTGTGACAAACCTAGATATAGATGGGTTCCAAGATAAACAACTACAGGTAAAGCCAGTTTGTATTTCATGTTGTAAAGACCATTGACTGAGATTCATCACATTCTGAGCCTCATATATTCTCACCATATAGTCAGCTGAACAGGTCGCCTGTAATACATATTCAAAAATCTCTATAAAAGTCTACATATTTGCTTTACAAGAAGGTAGATTCAGCTCAATCAAAGTCATCAGTAATACTTTTCATAATCAAAATCTGACAGAAGCTCTACTGCATTTCAACTTAAAGTACTACCGAATTTCAGACTGTTTTCACTTCTAGGAAATACAAACAGACTATGATGTTATCTTCATTGCCAGTAAGCAAGCTGCTGTAGTTTTATGTGAATCCTTTAAAGCCAAAATTAGGTAAATAATGATCTATTATTGGCAATGGTTAGCTATATGATATACACATAGATGTACTCAAAATTCATACTTACTAACTGTAGTCCCAGATGTCTAGGAGCAAATTTAACATCAGTAACTGATGTTCTACTATCAACTAGACTAGTCCTTTTTATCCAGTGGGACTGTTTATCTTCCTTCACTTGTTCACCAACTAACTCCTCCCATATAGCAGCTGTTCTATCAAATGAACATGTTGCTAAAACTTGACCAAATTCAGGATGAGCCCAGGTTACTCTCCACACTGATCCACTGTGGGCCTGGATAATAAAAACAAATATTGTGTTGAACATTTAAATCCGGAATTTAAAATAAAATAACAAAAACTGGTTTTTGAATTCCCCGATTGGTCAATCAATAAGATATATTTTACAAATGTCTGTCTGAAATACCATCGAACATACCATCGCCATATGCAATATAAACATAAGTAACAATTCAAAATGGCAATTAATAGTAATATCAACTCAAGATATGTCGGAATGAAGGTTAGGAAGATATAAGACGGCCCATCTCCTCATTCCTCAAAATTATAGCACCAACAACCGCTGGTTGAAGCAACGGTATGATCACAGTATCTTGACTGTAATGTTCTCCAATATCTCAATAAATACCTTCCAGCTGGCTGTACATTTCCACTGATCATTTTCATCACAATCCCAAACCTTGAAATAAAATAATGTACAGATACAATATCTATAAACATTTTCCTTCTCAAGGTTGTCTTAAAATATAACAATTATTTTTATGATTAAACAATTTCTTCAATCATAATAATAACCAATAATACCGTCAAGTAACTTAGTAAGTAAGTAGGATTTCAATTCCTCATCCACTGTGTGATAATACTTCATTCGCTACGACTATATTTACATCCAGGCATAATGTAAAATTTGTAGTGTCGTCGATGAAGATCATTAAATTAAAAATTCCACAAACCATTCGATTGAGAGTGAGACTGGGTGACTTGAGAAATCAGGAACAAAAGAAAATCAGGCGACTTAGAGAGGTCCATAAAACATGCAGAAAATCGTATATACCTTGACAGTATGATCACTTGAACATGTTGCCATCCTTCGTCCATGAAAATCATATTCGACATCATGAATTAAATCGTCGTGACAGGCAGGAATGGCTTTAGTTGCAGACATTTTCAATAAATTCCCTCCTTCTTTTTCATTTAACTCTACTTTCTTTTTCACTTCCGGTGCATCAGGTGCGCGATCAAAAAGTCTCTCTGTTGACTTCCTGTAAATTTTGGTTAGTCAAAAAAGACAGATTGCTACCAGCTGGGTTTTTTTTCTCCACATATAGACAGAAAGCTCAATAGTATACACCCCTTCAATATTCGCATATAGCCAGGCAATGAAGTCAATGAAAGTTTATGTGGGTTGAAAGACCAGAATAGGAAGCACTAGACGTGTTATCAGAATTTTTTCTTTCTTTCAGGACTCCTTAGTGTAATGGATTTTAAGCCGAAAGGGCATAAGACAAGACATCGATTCCCCACAAGTTAAATTCGATTTCCGTACTTTTCTTTTTAGTATTTTTGAATAGATATATGAACATATATAATATGTATTTACATATATTTAAGACTCGAATCAACCCCCCAAAGTGGCGCACCTGTATTTAACAAACTCTTATTGATCAGATTGAGTAATGATGTAGGCCTAGGCGACATGTAGAGGAAAATTTCACGATTCAGAAAAATAAGCCCTGTTAAATGGAGGCATTCCGCAACTCCGCAGGTGTAGGTTTTTTAAACCTCTTTAGATAAGTCGGATGTGCAAAACCCAGGTATATTTTTGTAGTTCAGTCATGTCATCATTTTCTCCCACCACCATTTATGTCATGTCTACGGTTCCTTTAAAGTTATTTTTTGGAAAACTGATCTAGCATCGGCCATTTAAAACTGTTCTGACTCTACTCCAGCTGACAACTGCTGACTCTTTGTGTCCTTCCAATGAATGCTCGGGTAGAAGAAAGGGTTTCAGACTCCATTCATAGATTGAGATAGGCAACTCCATAAATGAGATCAATGAGATGAAAGCCATACGACAATGGACATATCTGACAGACCTGCCAATTAGCTCCTCGTGAATAATAAGAAACTGATGCAGGTCTCAATAAATTACTTTATTCAAGATTGAGGTAAATACAATATGGTAATTGGGTCAATCAGTTTCAAATCTGTACTTTAATATTCTTCTCCCTCTTCCTCCTCACCTTCAACAGAATCAACTCCGACTTCTTCGTAATCTTTCTCAAGAGCAGCCAAATCTTCTCTGGCTTCAGAGAATTCACCTTCTTCCATACCCTCACCGACGTACCAATGGACGAAAGCTCTCTTGGCGTACATAAGATCAAATTTGTGATCCAGACGAGCCCAAGCTTCGGCAATAGCAGTGGTGTTACTCAACATGCAAACAGCTCTCTGGACCTTGGCTAAATCACCTCCTGGGACAACGGTTGGTGGTTGGTAGTTGATTCCCACTTTGAAACCAGTTGGACACCAGTCGACGAATTGGATGGTTCTCTTGGTCTTGATGGTGGCAATAGCAGCGTTGACATCCTTTGGAACAACATCACCTCTGTACAACATACAACAAGCCATGTACTTACCATGGCGAGGATCACATTTTACCATCTGGTTGGCTGGTTCAAAACAGGCGTTGGTGACTTCAGAAACAGACAGTTGCTCATGGTAAGCCTTCTCAGCAGAGATGACTGGGGCATAGGTGGCCAAAGGGAAATGGATACGTGGGTAAGGTACCAAGTTGGTCTGGAACTCAGTAAGATCGACGTTCAAGGCACCGTCAAATCGGAGAGAAGCGGTGATTGAACTAACGATTTGTCCAATCAGTCGGTTCAAGTTGGTGTAGGTTGGTCTTTCAATGTCCAAGTTTCGTCGGCAAATATCGTAGATGGCTTCATTGTCTACCATGAAGGCGCAATCAGAATGCTCCAAGGTGGTATGGGTTGTCAGGATGGAGTTGTAGGGTTCAACGACAGCTGTGGATACTTGAGGAGCGGGATAGACGGCGAATTCAAGTTTGGATTTCTTGCCATAGTCGACGCTCAAACGTTCCATCAACAAGGAAGAGAAACCTGATCCGGTTCCTCCGCCGAAGCTGTGGAAGATGAGGAAACCTTGAAGACCAGTGCATTGATCAGCAAGCTTCCTAATTCTGTCAAGAACCAAATCGATTAGTTCTTTACCAACAGTGTAGTGGCCTCGGGCGTAGTTGTTTGCGGCATCCTCTTTGCCGGTGATGAGTTGTTCAGGATGGAAGAGTTGACGGTAGGTTCCAGTTCGTACCTCGTCTGAAAAAAGAAACAGATAATCGTATTACTGATATGTTTTTTTCATTATAGGAAAGCAAGTACTCATAACCATTAATATTAATCTAGAATTCATATGTTTGGAGCGGCGAAATAGAAGTGGAGCTCATTTTGATATAGGCCATATATATTAATGTTTGTATGTCCAGAAATAAGCCAGGTAACAGTAATATCACCCACATGTTAGTTTGAAAAGGGAAATTTGATAATTTAACTCACCGACTACAGTGGGTTCCAAGTCGACAAACACAGCTCTTGGTACGTGTTTACCAGCACCAGTCTCGCTGAAGAAAGTGTTGAAGGAATCATCCCCACCTCCAATAGTTTTATCAGACGGCATCTGACCATCAGGTTGGATACCGTGTTCCAGACAGTACAACTCCCAACAGGCATTGCCCATCTGGACACCAGCCTGGCCGACATGAACAGAGATACACTCACGCTGAAAAAATATACACAAGCCATGAACATAAATATTTGAAATATGAACTGAATTTAATTTCTAAGTTGATCAAGGACTAAGATGAAATGACAAAATTTCGAAGGGAAATTAAAGTTTCCGAACCATAACAAACAAATCAGAATGGCATCAAACCACACCTCTATCAAAATCTATTTCCCACGCCCATAAAATCAAGAACCCTTTCCCCAAAATACACTCAATTTGAAAAAATCGTATCTAATCTATCGAAAAATTCAAACTTACCATGTTGAAGTTTTAAGTTATTAAATATTGCTGGGAAGTAAAGAAAAGGGTTTGAAATTTTCAAGAGTGTATCTCTCAATAAGACTGATAGAAGTCAATATGAGTGTCACCACTGTTGGTATGATGTGATTCGCACACCCCCACACTATTTATACTCGGTTGATTTGTTGTCAGGTGTTGCTATGGTATGGTGAACTAAACACGACCAAAACATGGATAATCTCTTAGAAACCACGTCGACTTTTATTGTTGTTGTCACGTGATATCCTTCCAATAATCTTGATCTTGAATAAAGTTATTATTGTTGGTAGATTTACTGCTAATAAAGGAGATCTTAATTTGATATTGAATTTTGTCAGGTGTAATGTACAAACCCAATCACTCTATAGATTGATTATTCTTTAATTTTCTTATATTATGAATATTTCACCCATTTTAGTTGATTAATCCTCTCAGAGGGGCGGATACCAAAATTCGTTGCTCTCCCTGACTGTTATTTGAATAAAATTTCAAATTTATAAAATATTTAAGAAAAAAGAAAGGAAATGATATATCTTTGAAAATTTTCTTAAATATGTACCGCATAGTTCAAAAGTCAAACGAAATGACCCTGTGTGGGACAAGGACAATCTCTAATCAATAAAAAAGTCATATGTTGACTTACGGTTTTCATTATTTCCAGATTTAGATTATGTTGATTTCAAAAGGAAAAAAAAAACTTATATCACATTCAGATCTTTCGGGAGTTATTCCGCTTAAATTGCATTGTTTTGAAAATGTTATAAGAAGTTGTAAACAGTTACATGTAGGCATGTTTGATCAAAATCATACCCCATATCCCCTAGTTTATTAGCTATTTTGGTAAATTTTTTATGACCCTGTGTAGTCATAATAACACTTGAGGCTACAAAACTTCGGATTGGAGGGACCACCGCCAACATTTTTTCTCGAAATCCATTCTAAAGTGGGTAAAAATTTGGAAATCAATCCTCCATTTTATTCAATTTGAGATAATATTTTTACAATCTTATGATATTTTATCATGATAAGACATTAAAAAGAAATCCACGATTTGACATTTCCACTGACAGGTCCAGAAACTATATACCTAAAATATATAAACATTCATTTGGATGTTCGAATATTCAAAATTGAGAAACCACGGTCATCGGACGATATTAGATAGTATTCTAACATTGGATTTAGACAGATGCCAAATATACATTATTTATGATACGTAACAAGTAAAAACTACTTCAATATTTATGATGGTGGGCAGTTTGACAAGAAAACGCCAAAGATAAAGAATAATTTATGAATTACTATGACCCGATCATCTCTAAAGGACTTACAACGTACCTTAATAAGAGGCGTTAATTTGATTGGTTAATACGTCAAATTAAACAATCTTATTGGCCTGTGTTAGCCACGCCCCCTAAAATTTGGCGCGAAATATTTCTAAAGGTTACGACCGAATTTGTTAATGTGTAGTAAGGCCACTGATCTCGCTGAGTTCCATTTTGTCAAGATAATATAATATGATCCTCCTGATTTCCTCATATATACAATTGCATAATCAAGTTGCAAATCACATACAAATTTTTCCATAAACAAGTGGGTGTTTTCATAGACATTTTGTTTATGGTGTTTCAACAAATAAATTCAACAAATAAGTGAAATTTAATTCAATAAAACAATATAATATATCATATATATTTTGAAAAAGAGAAAATTTAACTAGTTAAATAGAATGAATAAATGAAAGAACAAATGAATGAATGAGTTAACGATATATATATAACAACCAACGATATACCCCTATCACACTTTGAATCGAGAAACCCCCAAGGATGAATCTGATTCCTAAAATGTTGTAAAAATACATCAATATCAGAAAATTTGAAAAGGAATTGCCAGGAATGTACAATGAATATATTGGAACCATCATACATGTCAATTAATAAGTACACTCATGCACCATTTGCATTTCCACTCTGTTGTTCCTATAATTCCAGAAAAAAAACCAGGATCAATTGATGACAACCCAAGCAAACGCCATTCAAGCCAAAGCTACAGTCATGTCAAGTTTTTCTAGAAATACAGGAACCACAAAGTCTGAGATGCAAATAAAAACCGTAAGGGTTCTCAATATTCAAACAATGGCTGTAACACTTTTTAATTCACTGTTGTAAAAACAAAAACATCTACATTGAATAATGAAGTGATTCTAAATGACAATTTGTGCATTTCAAGATGAAAAGGCAAAAATATACCCAATATCATAATTAGTATAATTATTATTATTATAACTTGATCAATTCTACAATATTTGAAATGATAATGATAGTATCTACAGTATTGTTATGAAATAAACATTGCTCTATAAGCAAATCCCTCAAACATATAAAGCAATTTACACACAACACATCTTGATCAGGGTGCCTGCTTTTTAAAAAAAAAAATTAACCCTTGAACCTCTGGTGGACATGCTGGTTACTAATAATTTTTTACTAATTAAATTCAAATAAACAGTGTGGAACAATTTATATTGCGTATTTGAAATATTTATACCGAATTTTTGAAAATTAACCATGGGTTAAAAGAAAATGTACTTGAATCAAAACTTTTTTGTGATATTGACATTTATGAAAAACATCAAAATGTCAATATGCACAAAATTTATAAATTTGTGTTCAAAAGGAGTAAAATATTAAATCACATGTGACACACACTCTCCTTTTTAGAATCAAGAATATCAGTTTACTGGTTCAAAGGTTAGATTTATATAAGCTTTTACACCCTCAGTGAATCATGATGCACACAACACAGCAAAATAGAAATTTTAGAAATAAAGAAAATATTAGTTGGAATGTACAATATGTCATATTTTGAGCAGAAAGTCTTTTCTTGACTTTTCAGTAACAAAATATTTGGGAACCATTAAATTATAAATAAAATATATATCACATCAAAGCAGGGAATTCATATATATATATATTTGGAATGTCCAACAGGGCAATAGGGGAATTGGAGATTGGCAGCCATTTGATCAAATTCATTAAGGTGTTATTTGTAAGAATAGTTTTATTAGAAAGAGTAAGAGAGAAAGAGGGCAAAAAAGAAATATTGGTAATGAATAATATACATCTTTAAATCAAATTAATAAGTAAATAAATATCTGAAGGTCATGCATAAGATTATTGTCAAAATAGTACTCAATAAATTATAAATATAAAGAAAGATAACTAATAAACACAAGCATTACAAACACTGAGAAAAACTTGATTACTTTCTTCACATCTTGAACATTAAAGAGAGCAAAATTAGAAATTTGAAATAAACCAAAAAATAACCTAAAAAAATCAAGAAGGTCTGGGGGAGATTTTGTCTTGTATTTTGTGACCTGAACATATATAAAAAAAAACAAGCATATCATAAGCAACAACCTACTGAACAGAAACAACATCTTCTCAATAGTCAAGACACCTTGGTCATCAAAAAACACAACCATCAAAAAATACAAGTGAAATAATTGCAGTTCTCTTAGAACTTATAAATTTCATGTTAAATATATCTATATCTTAAAGGAAATGGTACAATAAAATTAACTTCAGCACTGTTTACATACACTTGTTTGCCTCTATAGGTACATTTCCCCTTGTAAAACTCATAAAAGTTATAAGGAATAAATGATTTATATGTAAACAGGTCAATAGAGGTCAAAGAGGTAAAAAAATATTGTGGTTTTTATTTCAAACAGTAACAAAGAACAACTTTATTTTAGTTGTGAGAGTTTTTGATACAATTCAGAACATTATTTTTGAATATTCTTTTGAATTAAAAAAATTCCAAGTAAAGTTATTAGCCATGTGAACCCTCAAAATGCATATTATGCTGACAATTTCAATGTCAGTGGGACATCATGTGTCCTGAAAGAATAAGCATTTCCTAATTATTAGATATATTCAAAAACAACATCAAAAAGAAAGAAAATGGTCTAATTGAGCAAGTTAATAAATATTACAATTATTAATATTATTTATACACAAAACTGAGACCTTTTATCAATATTACTAATATAATAGTAAATTATCAAAAACAAATGAGACCTTTCAGGATACCATCTATGGGTTTATTGTTAGACCTTACATCATCAGCAAAAACAAATGAGACCTTTAAGGAAACCATCTTCGGGTTTATTGTTAGACCTTAAATCATCAGCAAAAACAAATGAAACCTTAGTATCAACAATATAATAATGTAATAAATGTATCCAAAAAACCATCTAAATATCAACATTATAGATACATATACATACAAATGTGACCTTCATTATCAATTTGTGTGTCCGTATTGCTAAACCTTTCACAATAAGTATTTCAGCATGAGACCTAAGATGTCATGTTACTATAGTAACAAAAAACAAATGAGACCATTTAAAAAAAAAAAAAAAATTCAAAGTTTCAAACAAAAGTGTTTGACAATTACTAAATTAACAGCTCTTGTAAAAATAATGCAAATTCGGTCATTGAAGACCAATTCTTTTTTTTAGACTCAGTAAAGCCATATTCACCTCTATCGATATAGAAATATCTCTGTAAAATAAATTCTCACATTTCAAAAGAATTCATGTTGCAACAACTTGAACAATTTGATTGTGAGATCGAAACGAAAGGGTATTAATAATTTTCCAAACTTTTATACCATAAATATTGTATTTGGAAATTTTTATCACATTTATCAAATTTACAAAGATATTTCTTTTATTTCAAAACATGGCATTAACATTGTAATTCAAGATATAAGTAACTTAAAAATTATACACAAAAATTATGCCAAGCTTAATTTCATATTTGAATCCTTTTTTTTTTCATTGATCATTCCAAGTTCAAAAATAAATTTGATTTTGGTTCATAGAATTCTAGGGAATCATCTTTTCTCCAAAAATTTTGGTGATTACAGGATTTCACAAGTGGCAATTCAAATTTACCTTAACAATATTAAATTAAGCTTTGGAGTTGTGAAAAATCTAGCTACAAGCTCCAAATTAAACAGGCAGTATATTTAATTATTTCTTCAACAATCCATTTCTTAACAATTCCAAATATAATCGTATACCCATTTAATCAATTATTGTTGAAATTAAATGATGGCTAAAATAACACTATTGCACTATTCCTTATAAGAAGCTGTGGAAGTCTCTTCATTATTCCCATGAAGCGCCCTGTATTTAGTGTTGATGATGGATGATAACTATCTATTTCTAAATGAATTTTTTCTTACATATGAACGTAATATTTTAACATTCAGGATGATGGAGGTTTAATATTCATCGGGCTGAAAAGAAAAAAGATGTAGATTAGGGAAGAGGCAATGGCAAAATTTATATTTATAAATGAAACATTTTAGTTACCAGATCAAGAAGAAAGTAAGATTTTAAGATCAAGGAGATTGAAATGCAAGATTATCAGAAAAAAAAAGATTTGTTCCACATTTCTTGAAACTATGGAGTTGAAAATGCAAGTACACGTGTTAAAGGGAAAAATGGTTCAAAAAATCTTAACTAAGAGTTTCCTTAGTTTCTGATTGGTTCAAATAATGCTAATATGATGGCAATAATGGCCAATCAGAGGACTTATTTAAAAGTTGGCATCATGTTCAGTTAGGATATTTTAAGTATTATGCTGAATACACTTATACCAGTACATTTGTCCATGAATAGGGCTTCAATAGTAATCGATGTGTAGGGTACATTCAATTTGAGGACAGTTTCAAGGAATAAGAACTGGAAAAGAAATCATGCTCAAAATTCAACATTCATGTTATTTAGCAAGTATGTTAGTACCATACATGCATTTAGATATGCACATACATGGCGCATGCATTAGTAAGGCGTTTATAAAGGTAAAATCATGCGCACACTTATCATTGCATTCAATAAGATATAGAAGATAGAATGAGAATAGCAATAGATAAAAGTAACATTCAATATTTGTGAACTTTCCAAACCTCTTCTTTGTCCAAAATTCATTTCATAATTTGATTACAAATTGGGCAATAGGAAAATCTAGGAAAAGCATCCAATAGTGTAAGCAAGTTTCTAAGAACATTTTCAAAAATTAGAGTTAGAAAAAGTCAGATTTAGTGGAGAAAAAGATATTTAGATATACAAAAAAAGTCAGACAAATTGAATATCATGATAAATGAAAAATAAACCCCCATTTTGAAATGAGCTCTTCCCGAAGATTCATTTCAATACTGCAAAATATGCATGTGCAGAAGAGTTCAAAATAGTTAAGGGGTATTAAGGTACATTATAGCTTTGCTTTACTTCAAACTGATTCCATAATTCAATGGGTTTGAAGTTTGAGATTCTGATTAAAATTTAATTCAGAATCAATGGCTATATCTATTAAATTCATATTGCTTCTATACACAACAGAAAGTCCAATACCAAGTTGTTTAGCTCCCTTTAAATGGGCAGGTTTCATCCTAAGCCGAGCCTTATACTCAGAACATGAAGATAGAAGGACCAATCCAATATTGAAACAAAAGTTGGATACAAGGGTCTCCTCTGAAGCTTGGCAATATACAGTACATGAGGATAGTGTATCCATATAATAAAGAACCAACCCAATATTGAAACAAAGGTTATAACAACAAGAGTGAACACTCACAAAACATGGTAACTTGATTACAACAAACAGACGTGAAAGAATGGTTAGGATGACGTATAAACCTCAGGAGTTAATTCAGCTGATAATATATGCCACTGTCGGAATTCACGGTCTGGATTCTTCAAGGCGTTAAACCAATGTCGTAACCTTTCACCTTTAGCATTAATACCTATCTGTACCCCTCCTGTAATACAATAGAATTAACTCATTGAGCAAAATTCTTTATATTTTAGTCAAAGAAACTCTACTCCACAGGCTCTGACAGTTGATTTTGACAGTTTGGGTTTTAGAAGGGTCAGAGATAGATAAACCATTTATGTGTGGAGATATAGAGCCTGTAAAGCCTTTATCTTTGTAACATTTCCCCAAAAACAAAATAATTATATTTGTACTATTATTCCCAAACTTTTTGCAGTTTGTATTTGTCTTTTAATAAGTCAAAATAGTTGTTCTGAAATGACTTTCTTCATTTGACATTAGAATTTGTTTGATTTAATTTTATTTTATGTATAAAGTATAAATCAAGTAATACCAATAAAATCATTTGCTTTTCCAATATCTTTATCCCATACTGTAACTTCTAATGTTTTTTTAGGTAATTCATTATGTTTGATTTCATACACAAATTCCTGAAAATATACACAAGACAACTTTATTTTTTAACCTCCTCCAAAATGTATAATAGTTCCAGTATGTCAAATTGTCTATTATTTTCCTCCCTATATGAATGACTAAAAAATGTTCACCAATCATTCCTTGTGGTAGATTAGTCAGAGGTCGTTTGGATTATAAAGTTAAACTCCATTTGAATCACTTTGTTGACAAATAAAACTGCATGAATGCTTATAAATGAAGTGAACAAACAGACCACCTGATGTCACTGTACGATATGACATTCACCTACCTCATTAAATTCAGGGTTTAACGTTCTTTTCTTGACTGATGTTTTATATTTAGATTTCTTATCTTTATCAGGTTTTAAATATCTGAAAAAAAGAATTTTAAAACTATATAGTTAGTTGTCCGAATGACTTTTCAAAACGAAACTCAATATTTAAGATGGACATATCTGGAGCTATTCCTGGAATGTAATATATATATATATGGTTAAACTCTCAAAAACTAGCAACCCAAAAATGGCCTGGCCTTACTCATGACAATATCACATTTGTACTTCACATCTGAGGAACTGGTTATGGCGAAATTTGCCACCTTAAAAATCACTTTTTGACCAGTTCACAATATCGTAACTGTAATGAAAATTTATATTTCAAATCAAAGTAACTATATTGACAGCAAACTTATATTTGAAACATGTGGCAACAGCATAAAGTAAGCATCTTGTTTCTCAGTCACTGTCAAAAATATCCCCCAAAATCTATGCAGAATTATTGTACTTACACTTTAACATAAGGATCTGAGTAACCATTAGAATCCATAGAGGCTAGTTCAGCACAGCGTATTATACGAACTATTAGAGATTGTTTAGATGTAGCATATCGTAATGATAATAATATCTTTCCTCTGATAGCTATTAAATCATCATCTTTCTCTAACTGAAAATATTCAATAATCAACATGTCTCAGAGAGGCATTCTTTTCTTACTCAATCTGGCACTAATAAATTGTCTGTATTTACAGGATATTTGTTGTTTTAACTCAATATGAACAAATTCTGAACATTTAAGAAGGAGTTTGAGTCATTTACAAAAGACAAAGAATTGTTAAAATATCAAGTCTCCCTTTAGACCCAGATTTATTGTTTCCTGTGTCTATACTGTATTTCACCAGTACCTGTCAAGCATGTCATCTTTTATTTGAAAATTAATTGTGTCATAATGACATCAATGAATAATAGAGGTATTGAAAAACAATCAAGTTTTAGGCTGTGATCATCACAATCTAACTTACAAGTAATTCATCTCACAGTTTATATTTCATAATAAGTTAATACTTACTGGAAATGTTTTTTCTAAGTAGACATTAAAGGCTTTTGTTTGATGTGGTTTCAGTTTTTTTAATGGAACTCTAGTTTCACCAATAAAATCAAACCCAAAATGGTCCTCATCTAACACAGATAATCTGTAATAAAAATATATACATATACATGAAAAGTTTACAAAAACTCTGTATAATCCCTTTAACTTAAAATGATAATAATAATAATCTTTACCTCAATGTCTTTTTGACCACATCTTCTTCGGTAATACCATAATACGTCAAAGTTTCATTCCATTCTGGATTTAATGTTTTATGGATTGTTTTGGTTCGTAATTTTGTTGACTGAAATTAAGAGAGAAATATTAATAAGGATAGCATACTACCTTCTGACAACTTTGAGGTCTGAGGAGTGATGTCAATATGGATATGATATTTTGTCAAATATAAGCAAAGTTTTATACTCCAAAATACATCTTAGGTTCACAAAGGATCCTTTCTACCAGCTGATCCATCACCAAAGCTCTTAACATGATCGTTCCCAGATTATCTGTACCCATTTACAGATGAGTTGATTAGAATAATTAGGAAAGGTGACGCTGACTAAGAATCCATAACAACCATTTTTTGACATAACCTAGCAAATGACATATTGTAATGATTTCAATGCTCCAACTGACTGTGCTGTAGCCTGTCTCTGATTGAACAAGATTACAGAAGTAAACTGACCTTATTGGCACCAGGTAGAAGATGAAGTTTAACATAAGGATCTGATAAACCATTAGAATCCATAGCTTTTAAACCCTGAAACAGGATGAAAGTTGCATTTGTAGATGTTTGTTATTGCCAAACAAAACCTTTTATATAGAACCATATATTGTGATTTGAAGAACATTGTGAAAGAGATACATGCTCTTACAGCCTTCATATGAACAAAGCATATGAACAAAGCATATGAACAACAATTTTCATGCAATACTCCTGTTGTTCATGTCCATAAAAATGGATTTGCAATGACTTTAAAATGCAAAATCTATAAAAATGATGTACTTTCAGTACTTTCCTTCTAAAGTTCTCGTGAATTCCCGAAGACATGACTCACCTTAGCTCTGACTATAGTACAATATAAGGCGTTATTAACAGAATCATATAATAGAGAAAATTCTAAACAACCTAATGATGCTGAAATAAAATAAATGAGAAAATAAGCAACCTCCCGAAATACAATAAATTATCAATTGAAAAGTTCTATAATAAAATGAAAAAGCTTTATCACCTAGTATACTAGATTATTCAAAAGCTGAACTTCAATTTAAGCTATTGAATCCATTGCTAAGGCTTCATTCAATTTTTAAACTACTGTGGCCAGTAGGTATGGATAAAAGGTAAATGAAACTTTTTCTTCCATAACATCGGATGTCTGAGTTTGTCAAGTCAGCATCCTTTTAAGAGAGATCACTAAAATATGCACTAGAATATCGCTGAAAATGTGCATCGTGCCTACCCTTCAATTGCACCCGATGCAATTCTGCAATTGAGTTTGTCAAATCAGCATCCTTTTCAGAGAGACAACATAACATTAGGTAAATGAATGTAACTTACTGCCAGCATCACTATCAGGAGAAGAAATAATCTCATCTTCATCATCTTGATGTTTATTATATTGATTAATAGCCATATCAATATTATCATCATCATATTTACCACTAGATGGCGCCGTCACAGTGGTATGACCAGTAACACCACCTGTACCACCTTGGTTAGATCTCATTGATCCATCTCGACTGAAACCTTTTTAATTACAACAATTTTTAAAATAACATAACATAAAAAAAAATATCGAAACCTGTAACCCATAATATCGATTTTGGTTTTTCCAGATTAGTCACATAAAACTAAAATAATGTCTAAAAATTTCTACATCAAAGTACTAAAAGTGGATTTGAAATTTGAAAATAAAATTAAGATGCTCTGCAAGGTCAATTCTAGATAAAAGGTATTCTAAAATATTTCAATATACAAAAGAAACACTCATGACAGCATATACTGGTAAAAAACTGAATATAAATTCACAAAGACAATATAACAAACAACATCAATCAATTATGATTATCATATATAACTGGTAGAAAGAGACTACATTGATTATGAAATTCAAGCAAAAGTATATTAATATTGCACAAGATTCAAATATGAGTTCCATAAATAGCAGATTTTACATGTATATAAATCATATATATGTATATTATAAAGTAAGCACTAGCTATTTGTTCTGTTATATTCTATGATATTCTTCATGCATTCAAGCTTCAAACTAGACAATAATGTTTTCTTTATGCCTTCCTTACTTTGTAGTTTAAAAAGCTGTGCACTATTCTCATAAATATACAGTAAGTAATTTTAGACAGGTTATACAATCAAAGAGAATAGAAAGAGTTGATAAAAGGAATGGAGGTTGATATAGAATGAATATTGCTAATCGGTGAGTTTTGCATTCAGCAAATCTCAGTCTTTTCTGTAATGCTAAATCTAAGGTAATTAATGGAAGATTGTGTTGTATATCCTGTCTGATACAGAGTTTTGTCTTTGTTTGAAACTTGAATTAATCATCAGTCGAATTCATGAGCAAGAAAAACCATGCAATTAACTAAATCTAACTGCATATTTTATAAATCTGGTTTGATTTTCATCTCATACAGAGATGTTGGTAAGTGGGGATATGATAATTTGGCATTGAAACTTTCTTTGAGACTCCAGGTAATAGTTAGATTATAATTTAAGTAAATATATCTGTGGTTAAGAAGTGGAAATGTTACTAACGCTAGCTGTCAGTCAAAATGTCATGTGATTGTGAAATTCCTAACCATTTAGAAACTCATTTAATAGAAAATTTAGCTGAAGCTGATTGGATACAGATAGGTTCTAGATACACTTTATCAGTTTAATTATTAAGATAACCTATTTTGTAGAATTATGTATGAAAATGGAAATAGTCTGTGATTGTTAATTTGTTTGGGTAGGGATTATTCCAATGAAGAAGAACCTATAATGTGAGGTGGGCCAAAAAGCTCAATATCATGACTCCTGGTGAGGGCACTGAAGACTCCACTGCCAATGTCCCCTCCCCCAACAGAGTTGATGGTAAAACAGGTACTCTAAATTCAAAATTTCAACTTGTCATAATTCGATTTTGTTTTCTGTTAAATACATTTATTGATTTTCAAGAATATTGATTTCTTATGATTTTGTTTATTTATCTTTTTCACAGCAAAATATACCAAACTAAACTTTAACCAGTAAAGAAATTCAATCTCAATTCCAAATCCAATTTCTCATCTAAACCTGAACTTAATAATCTACATATTTAAATTTATCATCTTTGCAAATTTCCTTGTTATCAAAAAGTTCTTAAATTCAACAAAACAAATCTATTATCTTCTAAAATACCAACAGTTTTAATCATTTTAAAAGTAATCAATTTTTCCCATTCAAAATACAATTTCCGATAAAATAGGAATGTGATTGTTTTAAAAGGTTAAGAATCATTGGGTTACCGATGTTTTAGTAGAAGAAATTAATTGGAAACAAAGAAAACGGAAATGGAACACTTGCTTGCCTCCAGCCGAGTTAGAGAATTCAAGGGAATAACTTAATTGATTTTTTAGCGGAATTTCAATCAACTTCTGGTTTTCTATAAAATCAATTTGTTACACACGAAATTTTATTCTTTTGGTTTTTCTGTAATTGAAATAAAGTTCTGTTTAAATTGCAACAATTGGTCTCCTGCAATGTATATCAATCATTTTGTATTTGATTCATTCTTCAATAGAAAGATCTTCTCCTTGAATCTGAATATTTCTCTATAAATTTTCATGGTAAGCCTTTGTGACCTCCAATATCTGATATTTATCTAACATTAATACTATGTTCCCTAAAGGAAGTTAAATATGGAAGTCTCTCAGAAAGTTGGATGATGGGTTCTTAATTTGAGTCAGGTTATGATTTGGATGAATTTCAATAGGTTTTAAATTTCAAATGTGCTAAGCTAGAAAGTGCTGGAATAATGGGAACAATTTGTAATTTGCCAAAAGTTCAAAATCAATTTGGGATTGGTAAGGTGCACATATGATTAAATTAGTATAATGTGCAAGGGTTAGTTTTCAGCCGGACATGATTTTTGTTAAATTTAGAAATGACAGGGTAAAATTTGAAGCCAGGTCACAAACTCCAGATTTACAAAGCACTAAAAAAAAGCGAGCACAAATCTAACCAGATAAACTGGATTTCTCACTGTCAGTTTCATCATGGTACTCATCGCCACGGCTACTCTCAGTCGCACTCAGTTGACCTTGACCTCCATAGTTACCACTAGTTATACTTGTTTTACTGTCAGCTAAATGATGTGTTCCATACAGATGGTTACTTCTTCCACTACCTATACTCATATTATCACTTTCTGAAATTAGAAATAAAACAGAGTTTTAACTCCTACTTACTGCCTGAGATAAGACGCAATTAGGATAAACATTGCCATGAAGGTCTAGTGTGCAATTAGCAAATTTTTTCCAGGACATGTGTTCATTAAAAACTGATGTGCATCTCAAAAATGCACAGCCTGTAGTACAAAGTCACCTAGGTTTACTGTTCCTTCCAAATGAAGCTTCAAATGTGTATCACTGACACCCTTAGCAATTTAACCAAATGGAATCCAACTTGCTGCCAAAAGTCACAACACCGCACTATCCAGGGTAAATCATAAAAAAATCTGGCTGATGCAGTCTGCAGATCAAATCCTACTTTTCTCTACTTTTCTGTACCAAATATGTCCATCAACCTGAGAAGTAAAGTTTTTTACTCGTACCTGATTCAGCACCACGTTTATGTCTATGTTTGGAATTAAAATTGACTTCATCTTCAGAACTACTGGAAGAATCCTGTTCACTACTCTCACCATAACTAGCTGAAAAACATTGAGATGGATGAATAAAATTATTAAATCATAATCAATTGTTATTTAAGGTTCAGATATGATGCCAAATTAAGACTACATTGGTGGACAGGTGTTTATTTGGTGAGTATACAGTAAAATTCTTATTGCATATTTAAGCTCAGTAATGAAGCCGTCAAACTTTAATATCTTATATAGATTTTAGTTCCACAACAATAATTAGCAAGTCTTTCAATTGCCATATGGAGGGTCCACAAAGCTAATCATCATTTTTTTAACCATTAGTATCTAACTTATACATACTTTTTAAATTCGGTTCTAGATGCTTGGAACCAAACATTTAGGTTTCCATTTGACTGAGATTGAACATGCTTCATACATACCTGTCCCAGTACTGGAACTACCTCGACCTTTATGCCAGGCTGGAGATGGTCCACCAGGTCGAACACGACGAGAACCTTGTGTATGTATTCTACCTCTAGCCTGATATTTTGTATTCTCTGTTTTTTTCTCTGGTATCACGTATCTTGGTATAGCTTTAAAAAACCAGGCACCAGATCTCTTCCACACCTATCAATAGAAACAATCAAAATAATTAGGAACATGTTTTTGATTTCCATCTTGTCTGTTTTGCTGTAGTTGTCAAATTTCCATTTCCATAAAAATCACTATAGGTTTCCATTGATTATTGGTGCTAGACCCTATCAGTTTGTACCACAGTCAATGTTTGTTGAATTCCATTTTCTGATTTCTTCTGACTTTAATAAAGATGTTCTGTAATCTAAATGTTACTTGGTAATTTGTTTGCCCGTATATATATTTTCTTTAGATTGTGTAGTAAGTTCTTATTTTTCTTATTACTTGATAGAACTCAAATATCTAAGAAAAATTTCAAAGGCATGATATCACTTAAATTAGTACATTTACACCGTCTTATCTAATTGCCAGCCTTCTCTTTCACATTATCTAAATTGGTCAAGTTTTTTCATTTGTATCATTAAACCACAGATTGTTCTTTTATGACTGAATAGAGTTATAAGATGATTTGAGAATGTAAAAAGTTAATGGTGGTATATTATATTGTAAGAAGATAAAAGGATTAATAATGATGATGAAGAAAGAATAATGATGTAAGAGTAGATTTAGAATGATTAATGAGACCTGTTCTGTCATTTTATGTCTTTTAATCAAAGACTGTTACAGGCCATGATAGGGTGTTGATTTCAGTTCATTTCCAGCTTATTTGAGATTTAAGCTTGGGAATGACATTTTTAAGACATTTCTTATGATTCTGAAAATATTTTGGTGAATTTTTCACACATTTGTTAAAACTTTGAAATAACTCATTTCCTGTGCAAATCTGTTTTCCTCCAAACTTTTGTTTGTTCTTACAACAGCTTCAAAGTAACAAGAATTGTGTTAAAAAAACAACAATCCTTTTGTACACAGTTTTATCAATTTTTGTTTAATTCTTGTTGATTTGTCCATATAGGGAGTAATATGTTTGTTTTCATAAAAAAAATGGAGATTTCCAAAATTTTATGACCAAAATGTCACCATAGTTTTAACCTTACTCTACAACTTTGATATAAATATTTCAAAACATGTATAACAACACATACTGCTATTTCAAATGTCTTTAATGCAAGAAATTTCTAACGGCAGCTAGTAAGCATTGTGCTGTTGACATTAAACTAGATCAGAATTAATAAAAACTATCAGAATTAGAACTGTCATATATATCCAGAAGCTGATGGTAAGACTGACATTTAAAATGGCAGTACTAGTATAAAAATATACTGATAACTACTTCACTGACATTTTACAAGCATTATAAACTGTGTATTCATCACAAGTACCAGCCAGTTCCTAAGGATGTCAGGTAACTTTGATGAATTTCCAGCTAATAAATCTGGGGAAATTTCTATTAAAATCTCTCGTGAGTCCGTACTTCAACAACAAGATTATCACATCACAGACAGGACTTTACACACCAAGATAATTTGATTTTTGTCTCGACAGTGATGTTTTTTTTTCTCTGTTTTTTGTTAGCCCATCAGGAAATACCGCAGTTTATTTTGTTTCAATATAATTTTGAATCTTGGCTGTTATGCCAGAGTAAGTCATATTGAACTTGAAATTAAGATATGACTGGCACTTAATAATACAATACAAGAAGGATATCAAGGTTTATTGAATAAACTGGTGCATCACCCTAGTTTAATTGTATCAGTGTGTTATGCCACTAGATATTATATAATATCAGTCAATTGAATATTGATCTTTACCATCAATTACCTATTAAAGTCAATACTATCGTAATGCATTATAACATTGGCTCTTAAATGAACTGTCAGTGCTTGGTTATCATAAAAAACTAGAGGTATGTTAAATATAAGCTGTAGTACCCTAGGTTAATCAGATCATGGCATAGTTAAATATTACATAATATCTGAGTTAATACAAGTTAATTGAATATTGATCTCTATAAGCAATCACCTAGTTCTCAATACAGACAAAATCTACATCATTGGTTTCGGAATGACTGTCAGTATCTGCCAGACACTGTTTGGTTTTGGATCATCAGAACCTTAAACCTTCAGTTATAGTTTTATTGAATATGCTTTTATAAAGATAGAGATTGACTAAGTCAATTGATTATTGATCTTTATTTGACAAGAGTTTATTTTATGAGACACATGTTTTAGATATTAACTCCTCATCATTACAGTAAGATGGTAGTGGTAACAAATTGAAGGGGAAAAAAAAGATGATTAGGGAATGCTACAGTACTAATATCATGTCATCATTGGTTAATAATGGTTTAGAAAGATTACAATGTCAATTTTCATAGTATATTAGGATCCCAGTAAGGAATAACAAAAATAGACGGAATGCAAAATATTAGCTGAAGTTCAAGGGAAGACCACACCATTTTAAGATGGTTTGGAAGTCATTTCCTATGAAGATACTATTTCATTCCTCAAACCAAATTTTTTGTGGTTTTATTCAAAATAGAGTCATTCCTTTAAAAAAGTCTGTGATCCCTTTAATATTTCTTTATTGAATTATAGAAAAACCGAATGCGAGACCATTAATTTTCAACAGTTCTCCAGATATTGAACTCTATCAGCTTGTGAAGTAAAAGGCAACTCAATCTATTCAAATCTTCAAAGCCGTTGGTCTGAAGTGAAGTGAAGTAAGATTATTATGTAACAAGATAATTGATTATTGATTTCTATAATCAATCATGTCTGAATGGAGACCAATCTACTTAAAATAGATCTTTATTGCATTGGTTCTTGAATGAATAGCAGCCAATTAACTAGAATAAATTGTTATAGCTTTAGTTCTTGAATGAACAACAATTGCATTCATTCTCCTTTGAGAGAGTCTACACAGCTAATGATGTTGACTAGTTGTTCGTGCACATGAAAAGAATGTTTGGCAAAATCATCCTCCAAGTTATTTTCCTAAAATCGTGCTCAAAATCGTCTTCTTAGTAAGTCTTCAAACTTTGTATTCAAAATTGTCCTCTGTTATTCTATCAGCTTTAGCTTAAGCCCATCTCCACAAGCATGTGACAAAGATCTGAAATCAACAACCTTATATAAGATTAGATCAAACTGCACTACAAACACCCACATGACATGTTACTCAAAACTTTATATTTAAATAAATCAATAAAATTATTTCTTATATTGATTGCTTGTCAACACCTACGGAATGTCAGTTTCCTATTTTTTACAATAGTTTTAGAATTCTATTGTGTTAAACATAAAGTTGACATTTGTATTCTTAGTTGCATTTCAAATAACAAAGAAAAAGAAATATAGAACTATAAAGTGGCATAGGTTGCATAAGTCCATAGGTGACTCACCTTCTTGAATAGATCAATCAAATGCATTTATTTAGCTTTTAGGACACTCAGAAACGATGTCAAGTTGACAAAAAATTCTCAGAGGCACACAACGTGTTCCAGAAGAATGAACAATCAAAAGTTGGTGATACCTGGTGTTCTGACAAGAGATGACAAGAAATTGAGTTTCTACTCTTTTTCTGAAAAAAATACATTTGGTGTTTTTTGTAGTCTGGATAGTCCCAGCTAAAGATTCAAATTATTGTGAAGAATGAAATAGACTTGCATTTGATCTGATGGTGATTGCTTTGATATTTCTAGATTACAAAATTGATTTTACACTGACTGATGCAGAATTGTAAAATTTATTGGTATTTTATATAATGTTTAAAACAATTTTTTAGGCTATAAATTTCAATATTGCTGCCAACCGATTTTTCTGAGAAGGCTTCTTTAAATTAATATCATCAATATTTAGTCCATAAATGGTATTCACCTCTCTTTTCTGTAAAGTTCAAGTAAAATAGCCTGTCAGTAAACATTAGTGAAACTACCAATTGATGCAACTGAAACTGTTTTTCTATGTCGATAGATCAATCCAATTTCCTCTTATTTCCTGCAGAATGATAATGGCTGTTTACTACCAGTCATGTGATACAATAATAAATGCTTTATAAATACATAGAAGATTTGACATGAGCTACCAACAGATTTGGTATGGATTTTTGCTAATCATGACTGATCGGAGCTTCTTTCTTTCCTTCTAATGTGTTGGTCTCATGAACATTTCCCATCCAAATGATCAATTTGACATCTTAATGATCAAAAATAGCAAGAAAACTGAATTAAATTTGACAGCAACATCCCTGTTCAGATTAGATTTGCTATACTTGTAAAACATAATTTAATTTCTACCTTGTTTATCAAGATTTATTAATCCAAATCAATGGTGACCCCATGAAACCTAGTATGTTATATTACACAAAATTACTGTTTGTACGCATTGATTAAAATCTTATTTATTATATTTTCATATCACTATACATGGTTTTTATTCTTTGACAATTTAAAATAATAATAAATATTTCGAGTCCTTTGACCTATTCACTCAATAACTCGTATTTTAGTACTGTATACATGATTTTTCTGTTTTCTGCTACAGAAAAATGAAGAGTGAAACTTCGTATATCATTATTACAAGGTTTTGAAACTTTTAAACATTTACACGTTATATAATTGATGATTTTGGGTTATTTACAGCTAAGAATAAGAGATTGTGATCACAAGATCCGAGCTTTCAAATTATGGTTTATATCATTGTCTCTGGAGAAAAGGGAAAAAATTGTAGTAAAAAAAAATTATCTTTAGTTAAGCCTTCCATTTTATTTATTGAAGTAAAATCATAATTGAAAATAGTTTGTGTTTCTATTTACAATAAGCACCATGCTGTTATCTGCATTAATTCAACATAGATCGGAATAGAAAACAATGTAATTCACAATGACAGGAAGCTGATAATGTTTTTCACCCCAGTTTTCTACAGTGATTGGAATTAAAGTTGACAGGGCAATAATAGAAGACATTTATATATAATACCATGTTGTTAATACATACTAGATAAAATATCTGTTAATACCCAGCCATGGTCCCAGAGAGACTGGGATTTTTTCTATCTAATTTATAATTTGGTAAATGACTAAAATTGATTTTA